CCCCCCCCCCGGATCTATATTATTATTATTATTATTATTATTATTATTATTATCGCAGACCATTTATAGGTTGCAAAAAGTGCTGCAACTCTTTAGATTTTTATCATTTATTTTACCTTCATTTTTGGTATTTAAAAAAATAATTTTGCTTTTTGGACCTACTGGTTTCTCTAACCAATTTTGTTAAAAAGATAATGCCACTTGCTTCGCAGGTATGATGACGGAGTTCCTGCTGGCGTTTTCTGCCTACACAAACGGGGCCAAAGTGTTGAACACGTCACAGGCCGCGGGATCTCTGAGCGCCATACACGGCATCAGGTTCCTCAGCTTGACCTGGGTCATCCTGGGTCATCTCTACGTGTTTGGGATAACGGATATAGGTGAGGGCATTTGTGGTTATGTACTTTCTTTTGAACCAGGTGTATGAGGTGCAGCACTTAGGCACTTTGCTGTCAGATGCCGGAGTCCCGAGTTTGATTCCTAAATGCTGAGAAAATATTTATAGTGTAGAGTATCACTCTCTTTTTTTATGCTGGGATGTTGTATACCTCTCAGCCTGGTTTGGCCCTGATAGGCAGGGTCCTCCTAAATGATCTTGTTCTGACAAGGGTGTGAAAAACACTGCCATTAAAAAAGCTCCGAAATAAAAGACACCAATGCTTTTGTTATGTTAACACACACACACACACACACACACACACACACACACACACACACACACACACACACACACACACACACACACACACACTCACCTAATAAATACACACACACACACTCTCTCACACAAACACTCACACAAATACCAAAAAAATTACCTACACACATACTCATATACTCTCAAACATCCCCTCTTTCATATATACACATAAACATGTAATACTTACACTGACAGACTAACAGTCACACTTCAGCACCACTGGGTTGCAACCAGACTTCATCGATCTAACATTATAATTGGTTGCTTTTTAAGAACAAGCGGGCTGACACAGATTTTGGAGGTTTCCACCAAAAGTGGGTATTGCTCTAACTATAAGAGAAGTTTGGTTTCATTGGTGTGTGTATTTGTTTGGTTATAAAGAAAACGCTCCTTGTCTTTTAAAGAAACTGAACTAGGGACGAAAACTTTACCTTTGATTTTCTCAAAACAACATTTTTCAGGATAGCCCCCTTGTGCTTAAAAGCAACTTATTCTACCCCCTTTTTTTTGCTGCAGCCAATGCTGCTGACGTCCTGGGGCTCCTGCAGCGGTGGACATTTGATGCTGTTTCCAATGCGTTTGTGTCCGTGGATACTTTCTTCACTTTGAGGTAAACTTCGAAGTCTCATTTCAAAACCAGTTTTTCTTCTGCAGCTGCAAGCTTACCGCAGTGTTGAATTTTGTTTTGAGATTGATTCAATCTGTGAAAATCCTATTTGGCATTACTTCTATTTGGCATAAGTTATTTCTCGCAATCCTCAAATGGAGGTCATGGCCACAAATTGACACAAGGGTCAAATTTGTAGATTTTCTATTGATGCCATATTCTTAAAGTATAACATGCCATTTAATATTTCATAGTTATGAATTGTAAAAACTGATGTATCTATTTCCATAGGGTTTGAATCCGAGAAGCCACTCATTTAGTCAGCACGCTTCACATATTATTTCTTCCACAGTGGTCTGCTGACGGCCTACATGACCATCAGGGAGATGAAGCGATCCGGTTGGAAAATAAACTGGCCCATGTTCTTTTTTCACAGATTTTGGAGGTAAGAAAATGATGTAGAAAATGTTTTATGTTTTGATAACATATCGGTCTTTAGACTGATAGAAAAGCTCTAAATTCTCCTTTTATCTCCCTGACTTTAATGTCTATTATGAGACTGAAAATCTTAAAATTTTCCTTTTTCTTTCCTAACATTAATTTCCTTTGTGAGACTGAACTTTAAAAAAAAACCGAACACCTAAATTCTACTTTTTTCCTTACATTAATATCTGTTGTGAAAATGAATTACAAATCTAAAAATTCTTCTTTTCCCCCTGACATTAATATCTGTTGTGAGACTAAATTTTTTTTTTAAAGTCTTATTTTTTCCTGATGTTAATATCTGTAGTGAGACGTAATTAAAAAGAAATAAAATTCTGATTTTTCCCCCCTGACACGATGGATAGCTCACAGTTCCTTTCATTTTACCCTCTTTGTTTTAGTTTTTGTATACATATTCATTTTTTTGTCAATGGCATGATCAGTGGTTCAGTTAGGGGCCTTGCCATTGCTCACAATATGGCCTGAGTTTGATTCCCATGTGGGGGGGAAATTTTTATCGAGTACCTTTTTTTTTCTGTTGTAACCTTCTCAGTCCCCAGACTGGCCCTTACAGGCAGGTTTGAAGCCCACCTCTAATATGATCCAACTCTTGTTGATGGGGGTGTAGAGAGCCCTGGTGTGGTTTGCTCCTTCTTTCCTATCGAAGATCTGTCTTCCTCATCTCTCTTCTTTCTTTGCTTTGTCTGTTAGTCTCTAATAGCACCTTTATGTATGGTTACCGCATCATGACAAATCGAAAAAGAAAATTTAAAATAA